GATTACAATTGCAAATCCGCACAATTGTATTCATTCCATTTAGGAATTAAGAACCGTAGATACGTGAAATAAAAGTCGCTTTTTAGACGACTCCACTAGACGAGAAGCTATCTGAGACTATTCTCGCAGAGAGAACGTACGGCGCATGCATACAAAACGCGAGATCGAAAGAGATAGAAAGGACCATGTCGCGTTCGGTGAAACAGCGGCAGTTGCGAGGTTGATGAACCATCCTCGTCTATGTACGCAACGTCAAGAAGTTTTATCGCCGGTGAATTTTCATTGAATTTCAAGCGGTGTCGAGCGAATTCAAATAGCTGCATGTTATCGCTTCGAATCGATATCAGCGGTAGTTTCGACCCCCCACACTTCCCCTCTTTTTCCGCGTAATATAAATCTCTCCTGCCGCTTGTCGTTGTCGGTGTTCTTGTAAATCGCATCTTTACAAACTAATTCCACGCGGTGTAACGGTCGCGTCGGAACGAATTACAAACGGCGCCCCCGCGCCCGCAGCGCCCGTCGTATAGATCGTGACGTTTTATTTCCGTGTCGCGCGCGCGAACTCGCGACAAGGTCCGCGAGGCCGAGCGTACAAATACGCGATCATGTCGTGGGTGACTATACAGCCCGGATTCGCGGCGATGACTAATGACGTTAGGAAATTGAACCGGCGCCTCTCGATGCAGCCTCGAGAAAGAGAACGCGGGAGTAGCCGGGCGGGAAAATACCGCCCGCCGAACTCTCAGTCGGCGATTCAATTTTCCGGCATCATTTATTTACGCGCGGTTAGCTTCTATCGGCAGCCAGACACATCATAATTGAAAACAAATAAATAACAAAGTACGCACGCAATTAATTGCAAGGAGCGTTTGCCAACTCGTTTTGCACCTACATCTCTTACCGTCATCTCGTTATCTGTTGTTTTTTTTCTATATCTTTTCTTATTTTTAAAATATAAATTGACAGCGTGAGCTTTGAAAAAAATATTATTTTAAACTACTTTATTTTTAACAGCATTAATATGTTATTTAATAATATTAATTGTTGTACAATAGTAAATATTATATATATGTATAATATTTATTATTGTAGTGATAAATATTATATGTGTGATAAATTGTACATGCTAAATGAAAGCATATACATGTACGCTTATTTTCATATAATATATATTTTTATATAATATATATTTAAATATTATATAAAAAATTCTTCAAAATTTTAGAAATTTAATTCGAAAAACGATTTTAGTTTAATTATTAGGAGTTCAACAAACTCACATTGCATAGATAAGGGTTAACACGTTCAGTGCCGGTGACGGTGATGAATATACTAGTATTGCACGCGAACGCTTTGCTGATATTGTACTCTAATCCGTTACGAAGTGAAGACGCATTAGCGAAAGCACCTGATACCCAATTGCTAGAACGGTAACATAAAACGGTTACTGATTAATGTCAATACAATTTTACTTAAATCAATTTCCAAATTATGTAAATCTTATATAGAACTCATTTCTAAACGAGAATGCGTAGGAACTCAATAAAGATCTTAGGAATTTCTATTTGAAAAAGGACTATTTGAAAAAGAGTGATCCTAAAAATTGCGAAAAACGCGTTCTTTAAGGAATTTCTAAACTTTTAACATGTCGATCATTGTAATGAACGTTGATTCCCCCCCCCCCCTCCAACTCTGATAACAATTGCCATCTCAACTTGAAACTTCTCTGTGATTAATGTCTCATTATAGGGTACCATTTGACACACAGTTCAGTTGCAAAATCGGGGCGAAAAAACCAACTTTTTAGGGTCTCTCTTTATAATTTAAACAAAAATTTGTACACTTCATCCCTGTAGAGTAAAATTAATTCTGTTTCAAATTATCCCGGATCAAATTTGCTGCCGTTTCTTAACGCTTACGTTCCACTAATACCGAAAACAACGACAGAACTATCTTTTTATATTCGGAATTAGCGAGTGTCATTACAACGAGAAGTCATAACGAGGTGCCAGCCACGTCACGCGGGGATTGCGTACGGCGCAACATGCTCGCCCGCGTAAATGCACGTGAACGCATTTACGGTGGCGCATCGGCGACGAGAAAATTGAAATTTCGCCTTATAGCGGAACGCTTTTCCGCGTGCACCATCTGGCCGGGCAGCCGGTAAGAGCTTTCACTGCGAAATGTCTTCTGCTCGTTAACGAGTTAACGAGAAGAAACGCGGGCGAAAAAGGCTGAAGCTCGGACAGGAGCGCGGGTGAAGGGGCGAAGGGCGTTAGTCCGATGCTTTCTGAAGCTCCCGGGTGAAATTCCAGTTGCGAGCGGGGTAATGCCGGACCGACCGAATGGAGGATTGTTAATCCGTAATAATGGCGCTCTCGAAAACTCGTCTGCTACCCTCCTCGCGCGCAACCGGACATTCCGTGCCCCGCATTAACATCCACTTTTATCTGCGTCAATGACGGTTTTAGTTTCGTCACGTGATTTTTACAAGATATATCCGTTCGTCGTGGGCAATCGAGGATTTTTTTGCAATTAACGCGGATATATCTTCTTGCATGCGCTTTCGAAGTTGTCACGGTGAACTTTCGCCGCCTGTGTGGAAATCCGAAAAGCAGAAATCCGAGAGCTTTTTTCGCGACGTCTCCGGCGGTTGAAGCCAATTCTGTAAAATGGGTTTTTTATCGAGGTCAATCGGGTTAACGGTAACGACGCGGTAAATGTGACACCGCAATATTTTCTGGTAGCATATAATCAAGCCGGAAGATTTCACGCTGTAAGTGGCGCTAAGAAAAGCTATATTGTCTTATTATGAGAGATCGTAATAAGGGAAAGTTTAATATAAATAATATTGTTCGTTTGAATATTTCCAATCTTCTCAGAAAAAATTGTCAACAATAGTCGGCTCTCTCGTCTAATAATAAATCTATTAAGATCACAGATTTTAATATACAAGACTTTCTCTTTCGATTTAATGATTCCGCACTCAATTCGCCGCGACGCCGTATGACGGAGCAGCTATCCGAGTATACGATCTCGCGAATCGAACCATTCTTCCGAGTAATAAAATTATCCTCCGCAAGCACTGCAAGCCATACGATGGCAGCTATCGACGTGTCAGCGTCATCCAACGATCGTTGCCGACGTTGCGGTTTTGCGGCAAGAGAAGGGAAAAGAAGGACCTTCGCGGTGGCCGGGAAAACTTCGGAAAGCAAGCGATACGTTGTAAAATCTTCATAAACCCGGGGCCTTTCCATCTCCGGGGCAACCATTGCATTTGCATGCCAAAGATTAATTCAGCGAGAAGGCGATATCTTTGAAAATGCGCACGACGACGTCTCGAGCGCGTCTCCCGAATATCATATACGAATATCGTTTTCACCCGCGAACAAGGGATGAAGTTCCGGAGCGCGCGTTTTACTCGCATGAGTGAGTAGAATGCTTGGTGAAAGTGCCGACGAAAGCAACAATTCGACGTAGAACGGCGGGCAGGAGAAGGGAGATATCGATTGTGTCGACAGCTTGCACTTCCGAGGCAGATGCAATTCTTTTATTCCGCGTTCACACGTCGCTATGGATAAACTCGATACGTACCAGATAACAGATTTCACTGCGCGGATGTTTCCAATATCTGTCGCTAAAATTCACGGCGCATTCCTGCCCGTTTTATTTGAACCAATTTATATAAGTGCGCATTTAGAATCAATTTCCTTTTTTCCGCCCAACTTTTCCATTTATTTAGCACTGCTTCGAGCTATTCCGTTCAATGAAACACGATGTGATACGTATGTTAAATTAATAAAGCAATAAAATGTCTTTCTCGTTGATTAAAGCGCTGATCCCAATAAAAATATCACTTCAGTTCGTAACTAATGATTAAAAACTTGGAACATCATATTCTATGTTTGCAAAGTCATAAAGATTTTTGAATTTATTACTTATGCAATTATAAACATTATAATTTTCACGAAATGTAACATTATATATGTCGCAGAATAAATTCAGTAGTTGAAAAGATCTAACTATATTCTAATTGTGACAACGTGATGATTCAAACGCTAGTAATAGTACCGTAAAGATAACGTAAACAACCGTATTAGTAAAATATAAACGGTAATGAATAAATCTCATTACACGGCGTTATTTCGCCATCATGCCAACGCGCGTCGAACAATTTTGCACAACAGAGTTTTACACAATTACAAGGAACACCGTATTGTGCGTCGAAAATGCATCGCGTTACATCGGAGTAAATGCAGTTTAACGATATTTTAATTAATGTTTGTTGTAATTAAATTAATAATTAAATCGGTACGCGAGAGCGCGGGGTACCGCGCCGTCTGTATATGCGATGCCGACGCGAAAATCTCCGAACATTAAAATTGTACGCGGAATACGTAACGGTGCCACGTAGTTAATTACGCGTGGCAATGATGCGTATTCCGGTTTCATTAGATGCGCTATCGCATTTAATCCACGTGTTTTTCCTTTCCATCTTGCCGCGGCGCATTTCGTTTTATCACCCATGGTGCACATTACGAGATGCTGGCACAGCACAGCCGGATAATCACCAAAGCTTCGGGCCGGTAGAAACGATTTTCTTCGTCAGTTGCAAAGATTTTCTTTGTCGTGTCTCCCCTCCCCTCCTGAAGCGCGTACGTGATGCGCTGCTAACTTCCGAAATTTTTGCGCTAGGTAAATGATGCAAAATGCATCGCGCGCTTACGAGCTTCGGTTTTCTAAACGACCGAGGTCGCTCGCTACTCGGACTCTGTGTGTTTTGCTCATCGTAAATTATACGTATCTTTCCCGTATGCAACTTTTGTGTGATATCGAATTTCGTAAATATTCCCAGATTTTTTTATTAGTAATAATCGCAAAGAATACACGTGGCTTTTTAGGCACACGTCTCTTTTATTATAATGATTTATGAACATGTAATAATGACAAATCTCTTTGATTACAGCGACAGCGGCGTGGCCGCGGCAGGAGCAGCCCTGTCCAATAGCAGGAGACTTTTGCATGAACGGTGGTACCTGCCTATTTTTTGAGACTGTCGGTGAACCGGCATGCAAGTAAGTAAAATATCATCTTCACGATTTTCATACAATTTTAGTTTTCGCATCATGCTGGCTTGTAAAAAAAATATGAAAGTCTTTTTTTAATTATTATAATTCTGTTAGAAACGGAAACAATGTGTCATTTAAAGTTTTTAATAATCTATTACGCTAGATACAAAACTGATTTATCAAAAATAAATGAATAATGAATTACAAGAATAAAGCATCAATTACAAAAATAGCTTGTATATAAAAAGAATAAAAACCGAATTAAATCTATGTCTTAAAGAAAAGTAGAAAATGGAAGTGGAAATAGTGCACATTACGATCTTTTGTGCTTAACTGCTTACTACATATAAATAGAGAGATAAATCCTTTTATACCATTAAAAGTGAACAATAGATTAAATTCTACTAAATGTACATGCAAAACCCATCAATTTGAATAAAACGTGTTTACATACATATATATATATACATTATACATACATATTATATATATATATATATAGATATACATATAAGTAAAACGCGCGCGATAAAAATAAAACGATATGAACTGTTGATATTTTATTGCCAGTTTCCAATATTAAGTGTTTTTGGTTACCTATTAAAGTAAAATCCATTTACTGAGAGAAAATGAATACTTTGCTGTTTATTATCCTTCCTGAAATTTAGTTTAGACGCAATAAGAAGATTTCACTTGTTGTAATTAATTAAACAAGCCTTTCCGAATCTTTAAACTCTTTGTCTACTTTTAAATATATATCTTGGGCCTCTTTCAGCTTATTATCAGTTTATTAGAATAAAATTCCGAAGAAGTTAAATTCTTTACGACAGATAAGCGAAAGTTCGCAAAACGCAGTCTCGTCACGACGGCGTCTAAACGTCAAATCTCCAACATCCAGTTCAGCTATCGTGGCTGTGTTTTATCACGTAACGCCGTCAATCCTCTTGGTCACTTCCGGCGAGTCACAGAGAAAGAGAGAAAGGGGGGAGGGGGAGTGAGGAGGAGAGGGATGAAGAGACACAGGCAAATGTAAACTTTTTCGCACCGGCCGGCGACGCTCGTAAATCTCGCCCCCGAAGGGGCGACTTCCATCTCTCATTCCCGTGCGATGCAACACACCACCGCTATACCACCTGTGCCGGGAGTCCCGGTTTCTCGTTTGTTTCTGTTAGGCGACCCCCTCAACTTGTTAACTTTACGTTCTTACCACTTACGGCCAAATTGCCGTATAAAATATGTGCTGTTACGGGCAGCCCCCTCTGCATACCATGATTCACGCTTCTGCGAACCGACAAACAGAAGTCTTCATTCCTCGTGTATCTCTCTTTTTCTTGGTTTTCGCGTATAATTAAGGATGCCGCGTCATATTGTCACGGCGATTGCGCCCATACGTGTCGTTAGAATTAACGCCCGAGAAATTTATTTGCTCACTTTCTAAACAATGTAGAGGGTTGTTTCAGAAAACAGCGCGCTCCGTTTAAATCATAATTAGTCAGACTGAAAACATAGCGGTTGCTCTTTTATGTTGAAATAGTAAAACTATGAAGAGGAAAAAGAGTTATTTAAAAAAGTATTAAAAATGATAAATATAAGCACTTAAAAAAATACGTAAATATTTATAAAATATTTACATATAATATAAATAAAATTAAATCTTGTCTTTAATGTTAAATTAAGAGAATTACATAAAAAACAGTTTTTTTATAGCTTATCAAAATATCTAGCATTAAAATTAGTGTTGAAATAATTTAATTATTCAAATAAAGATATAAAATACAAAATCAATAAACGATTGTAATTTCCGTGTTTTTGAAAGCAGTTAGATACCTCTGGCAAAATTTGAAAAAATATTATAGCGCTCAAAAAATGGAGAAATAAAAAAGAGGAAAACATTGCAAATGCAATGTTTTGTAATCCGCATATTCAGCGATGTGGTATACGTACTATACGTGCATGTACACGTGCTATTTGAAACACTGCTATATGTAGGCGCTGTTATTCGAGTTGCATCAGATCACCTGTCACGTCTGTAGTTGTCAAGGCAGATTTAAAACGGATCGCCACCGGTAATTCGGTCAAACGTACCGAGATTGGACGTGCTGGCGCGACAATAAAACCAGTAGTGAATTTTGCGAACGCGTTCGCAAAATCCTATACACGCAAGAATCGTTTAAACAAAAAAAATTTATCAGATAGCTCATTACGCAATAACTATAAAAAATGTATCTAGATAAAATAATAATAATAATAATAATCTCGAGTATCGTAAGAAAAAGACGCTTATATCTATGTAATCTCTTGTAAAGTAATATCCAATAATTGTATGTCAATTCTATTCTTTGTCAATTCTATTCTTCAAATAAAAGAGATACGATAATTAAAATTTTTTAAAATTGTAATATTCATACAACTATTACAACATGTAATAATGGCGCATGCAATAATTATACAGTTATAAATGGAAGCAATTATTTACTGAAATCATTTTCTAAATTTAAGAATTGTGGAATTTAGAAATTTAGGAATGCGACATTTTTAAGGAAATTAAAATAATTGAGGTGCGTGGAAAATTCGTATAATGTTTTCAACCAAGCTCTCCAATTATCTGTTAATGTTTTACTAAGCGATCATTGGCTAAAACTACTCTCGTTCATCGACTATTCTGTTCTTCTTTCGGCGACAACGAAAGATAAACACTCTAATAAAAAGACAAACACTCATCGCCAAGACCGCGATCGAGTCGACGAGAGCCCGGATCCTTTTTTGTGTCTTTTGGAAAACTCTCTCTAACCCTGGCCCCTATACGACGGGAGGCCAGAATACGTGTACCCTACGCGCGCATAAAAGATCGAGCAGTAAAGCTGGTACGCAGCAGCTGCACAGTGGTACGTTGCAATTGCGAGCCGTCGAACGACGAGCTCTCGTAGTCGCGCGGCGCGGCGGAAATAGTGGAAGTGCGTCCTCTTTTTTGAGACGCTCATTATTTTAACGGAATGCGCGAAGCTTTTATGCGAAAATATCCGGCAGCCTGGTTCGCGCTACCGACACTTCGTGATGAAACTTCGCGCGCGGGCTTTCCTCCCCGCGTGAATCCATGAACGACGCATAAAGAAAGAAGCGCCGGCGCAGACACGACGATATTGTGCGCCGCGTTGTATCAAGGCAACATTGTAATAATAATTCACGTGTCAGTTGATCCTTTTATTCGCACCTTGCCTATTTTTCGCGATAAAGATATGAGACAAGTCGAACGCGCGATAAGCCAGCCAAAAAGCAAACACAGCTTTAATAAGGATTTAATCATTGAGCGAGACTTTTTTTCCCTAGTCACCTTGCAAAATTCATAGAGGTTTCATTTCAAATTACATTTTCCTTCGCACGCACCACATTTACAATATTCATATATTTCAATCTCTCATCAGTACACGGTACAATTAATTTATATTCTAATTCGTAGAATTAAATGTCAATATCGAGAAAACAGAATTTGAATACGCGCGCGCGGACTTACAAAAGCATGCAGGGTAGTTATTTTTGGGAGATTCAACGATGTGCGTAGAGAATTCCGCGGGAAATTCCCACGAATCCTAGGATTTATGATATTATTTCTACGGCGGTGATAGCGACGATGTAGCGATAATATACGGCGGATGTGAAATATTTCCCGTGAAGTACAATGTAGTGCGGGGACGAGACGATGGTTCGTAATGTATGTTCCGTCGTTACTCGCTTTCCGTTTTCACGGTGAGGAAACTCTCGGAGAAGATTAAGCTTGCGGCCGCACTCTCGATCGAATAAAAGTGCATGTGCAGGGAGAAGATTGAGCGTGCAATCCTACCGGTTACACATCCCTGTATAGTATACGTACCGTTCCAACTTCTGCCTGAAAGTTACGCGAGCGACTGAAATTTTCTAATGACACTCTTCCAAACTTCCCGCGGCCGCACATAATGCCTCGGCATGATACACTTTCGTGGCATGCGGAGCCACGTTCTCGCGCGCATGCCCGTCCGTAGGAAAGAGAGAATTCGCTTACGTTTGCGCTACATCTGTTTCATCAGATAAAATAAGGCACGCGCGCGCGCGACATAAATTCTCAGGGGGATGTAAATTGTATACGCGCCGGTGTCCTCTGCGTTCTATAAAGCAAAAAGACACTACGCAATCGTGTAATAGATCGATCGGATCACGGGGATTTTATCGGGTCAATCCCGATTTATACGACACTTATTTCTAAATTCGCTATTACGAATTTTAAAACGACAGGTTTGTTAAACTTGAATTTATACGAATTTTTAAAGAGATTGAAATCAAATTAGAACTAAACCTAACGCTGTTTAAAAGTGCAGGCGTAATGGCGTAAACCATTTCCCTTTTTCTACCCTCTTCATTTAGGTGTGTGAAGTTGGCACTTCTAAATGCGAATTTTGACGAAATCTATATGGCATTAGATTGTTCACAATTTGTCCATATTTGTCCAATAATAATAATTTTTTGTCTACTCTTGGAAAAAATTTAGAAAAAGAAAAAAAATTTAACGTAAGAATCTCTAAGTGCATTTTTTTAAATTATAGGTATACGGGATTCGATTTTATACAATTTGTACGTATTTGTCCATCAATAAGCATTTTTTGTCCACCTTGCTACAAAAAAATTGATCAATTTCTGTATGTAAATTAAAGATAATAAACGCACTTATGAGTGCTCGTGACAAAGTTTGCTCTAACTTTTCATTTGTTTATAATTTTTTGTAGCAAGGTGGACAAAAAAATTATTATTGATAGACAAATGCGTACCAATTGTAAATAATCGAATCCCGCATATAATTTTAAAAAACGCACTTAGGGTGCTTACGTTAAAATTTTTCTTTTTTTTTTTTTAATTTTTTCCAAGAGTGGACAAAAAATTATTATTATTGGACAAATCTGAACAAATTGTGGACAATCTAATGCCATGTAGATTTTGTACAAATTCGCATTCAGGGGTGCCAACTTCAAACACCATCT